AGCTCCATCCCCTTTGTAGCACAAAGGAGCTGCCCTAATAAGTAAATCTCCCGGGAGCATAAAACTGGCATAGAGGGGTCTACACCACTCACTCAGCATAGGAGGCATTGCTGGGTCGACTGGGGGTGGGAAGGGACTGCCTTAAGTGGCACAATATAGAGCTGCTTTGTTACACTGGGGTCCCATTCAGTCTCTGGTTAGCCCTTCTACCAGGGGAGATGAAAGGTTGCTTAGAGATGCACTCCTGTCCCCTTCTACTCTTTGCCAGGTCCAGCACCAAATATTTTGAGGAGGGAACACACTTCACACTTAGGGGGAAAGAAAGCAATGTTTTTGTGACAGTTCCTGTCTCTATTTTAAATAAAATAGTGATTGTTGGAAAGCAACTAGTAGATTTGAAAGATTAGACATAAATTAGCTCTGGCTGCGAAGCATTAGTGAGAAAAGTCCAGGTGAGGTAGGCAAATATATGACATAAATGTGATTTAGCAGAAGACTATCACTGTGATGTGAGAAGTAGTGTGTGTATGTGTGTATAAAACACACACATACACACACATTTATGGAATACAGGGTTGTGCTGTATAAAGGACCTGTGTCATGAGTTTGGGAAGGCTGCTTTACTTACAACTAGTAAAGCCTCGAGTGGTTTATAGAGGTTATTCCAAAAGACCTTTCTATTACCCCACAGCAGCATGTATTCTGTAGCTGCCACATATCTTTCAGAAAAAGTAGTTCAGAAACGTTTTAGAACATGATAAACATTTTGATTGGAGCTATTTCTGTTTCCTGCAAGGCCATTTTTTCAGGCAGGTTGATCTTTAAAAAACAGCAGCTTGTCTGAAGTTGTAGAGGGATTTGGATTCGAAGCAGTCATGGTAGAGATGGATTAGTGAAGAGAGTGCAGGGCATGATAAAGGCAGTTTATTACATGTCTCTGCAATTTATCCTATGGACATCACCACCACAAATGTGATATATAGGAAATGACTGATTGTGCTTCCACTGAAGTTAAGAGGTTTCTCATTGCTGTCCAAGTGAGCAGGATCAGGTTAATAATGATGTATAGAGAAAAGCAGACACACATTATATTATTTCTCCTATTATTAATGTCCAAACTGTACCCAGTAACAAATATTTGATTAGTTTACAACTGAATATTTCTCCATGTACTCCTATGTGTAGTCATATTGATGACTGTAGTTCAACTTCAGTGAGTAAAGTGAGCAGTATTTGACCCTTGGTTTTCTCTGCAAAATGTTCAGACCCTTTCATATCTCCCCAAGAGCAAGATATATTATTTCCAAAGGTGTCATTTAAAACTAAAATTCTCTATAAATTCTAATAGACAGGATCCAGCTTAATACACTTCTTATTTTCTATTTTTAGGAGTAACCACACACTATTCATATCTTTTTATATCTCTAGTGGTCTTAATCATTTATTTCAAATGACAAGCCAAATTTTCCAAAAGGAGCATCTGTTATAAAACAGATTCTAAGTGGATAGCTTTGCGTTCTGTAACGTTTCTGATTAGAGTTGATTGAACTTTTTTTTAAAAAACCCATACAAAATTTCACAGTATGAAATTGACCCATTTTTTTGCTTTTTAATTTTTTGCATTTTAATTGAAATTTTAATTGAAATGGTTATTTACATTTTTTACCTAAAATAATATTTTTAGGAAGTGAAAATTTTCTATAATCATTTTGATTTTTAAAAAAAGTCATGAAAAGTTGTGTATGAAATCAAAAATTTTGGAAAAATGAACAGCTTTTTGTGATATGTTTTCATTTTCTAAACTGAATGAAAAAAATCAACCAATTCTATTTCTGGTATTTGTTTACATCATAAATATCATCACATCATACATACATCAATGTTCAAAGCACAGGGTTGGATCTTAATAAATACAAATAAAAATATAAATTTGTTGTATTGTACTTTACCCATAACAACGATCTGAATAAAACAAATTATCATATCACATTTGGCTTCAATATAACACTCATGAGTTATGCAGTCAACCCTGATTCAAGAAAATTAAATGTTCCTGGTTCACATATTTATCCTTACATATCCTTAGACCACTGAACAGCCAAAGACCACAGCCTTCCTTTAATTTTTAATATGTATGTGAGTTTCCTTAGAGGAGTAACATTCCATGAGGAATGTTGGTGCTTTCCAAAATCCATGCCTGAAGTTAGCCTCTTAAATCTATGTGTAGGCATTTCAGACAAAAGTTTGGCCTGCTTCCCACAAATCCCATGGAAGTCAATGGGAGCTACAAAGTGCTCAACACCTTTGAAAATCAGGTAATTTTTATGTAGGGGGCTCAATACTGCAAGATGCTGAACACGCTCACCTGATTCAGTGAAACAGTTGAGTTCATTTTTAACTTTAAGCATGTGAATAATCCCATTGACTTCGGTGGAACTAATCATGTGTTTAACTTTAAGCATGTGCTTAAGTGTTTCACTGGTTCAAGTGCTCTGTACCTTGCAAGATGCAGCCCTCAGATGTAGATTTAGGAGCCTAAACTTAGACATTCAAGTTTGAAAATGTTGGACCACATGTTTAATCTGCTTTTCACTTTTGCTTATGTCTCCTCTCTCATGGGCTAACTAAACCCTGAGATTTAAACATCCATAACTTTGAGGTGTTTGGAATCCAGATCTGAAACCTCTGATAAAATCTATTTCACTCAATTACACTGGTGCCCCGATGTAACACAGAGCACTCTTGGACGCAGGAGCATTTTATTTTGTTCAAAATGGAGAGGGAGAAATTACACTGTCTTCAATAGTCCTTATTTAAATTAAAAATTGAACAAAAAATGAACCTTAAAATGTATATTTACATGCGTCAGTGCCCTATTGACCCCATCCCAGCTCCCATTAAGTCAACTGGCCTTTCCCCATTGACGTCAGTGGAGAAAAAGAAGGGGCCCTGCATAGTAAAGGTGTGAATAATTTTTCTTTTTTATCCGTCTGTCTATTTTGGGACGTGTTAAGTGCTTGTTCTCTGTTGTAACATTAACGTCAGTATGTGGAAACTTGGGTTACTAAAATAAATAAGTGAAATGTAATATACAAGACTAAACAGGGAACTGTGTGCACACTGTCCAACACAAATGGCCTGATTCACCACTGTGCTGCTCCAGCTTTACATAAGGGTAACTCTGTTGTGTTGAATGAACCCTGGTGTAAAGCTGGACCAATGCAGTGGGGAATCAGGCCCAAATTTTATAACAATAATTTATGCAGTCTTGTATTTCCTGAGCAGGCAAAACTTCCACTGGCTTCAATGTACATGAGCATAAATTTACATCCATGATACTTTTACCAGCCTGGGAGTGTGGGAAGAGAAGACACTAATATCATGCAAGGCATCTTTTTCACTGTGGGCCTGATCCATTGTCTAGTGAAGGCAATGTCTAATCATTGACTTCAGCAGGCATTGGATCAGTCCTTAAATCAATGTATTTGCTCTTTATAAATTAGGGCTTGATTCTGATCAAACTTACACTGCTGCCATTCTGCTGCTTAAATGGTTTATATCAGTGTAAACGAGAGCAGTCTGAGGTCCATTTATTTTTAATTTGTCAAGGAAGAACTTATTAGATAGAGGGGCAGTATTAACTTCTGTGGGCTGGATCACCCCTTCCCACAGTAAAGCCAATGGGAGGCACCAGTGTGGAGGAAAACTTCCCGAGGATCCTCTCTCAAAGTTGCTCTCTGATCCTTGGGTTATGGAACCAGCCGACAAGGCCTGAGAATCACCTAAGATTGGTGGAGGGCTGGGGCAATCCATGCAGAGGCTGTGTGCCTCCACCCTGGTTTAATGTCACCACTGTCTGAGTCATGCTTCCAGAAATTTCCCCTGGCTGATGCTGTCCCCAGGAGTCCTTAAAGAGGGATCCCCACTTTAGTTGGGAGGGGGTTCCGAACACACCTCTTCTGGGTAAGCTCCACAAGGCTGGGTGGGGGGGGGGATGCATCGCTCCATCCAACATGGGGCTACCTACTCCCCAATGTGAGACATGATTCCCACAGGCAGCCCCTCAGCTGCACCATTACCGAATTATTTGGAACATACAGTCATTTGCTTATGGGATTTTCTTAAGATTTATTTTTTTTAATGTTTAAATAAATGCATAAATCACAGTGATGTGAAAAGAATGGGTTGTTTCATTCTGTGTCAGAGCAGACGGTTATTCTTGCACAAATGTGCACGTGTGGACTAATAGTAATTTATTGATATAAATCTGTATTCGGGGCATATAAATTTCATGGCAAGATCACAAACGTTGAAGGAGATTTAGTTCACTGGTTATTTTTAGAGAGGGCTCCAAACCAGAACCAGATCCCTGGATTGTAGCATTTCCAAAGATAGGGAAAGCTCAAATCCAAATCCAAACTTCACTTCTTAGGCCTTTCTCTAATTATGTGAAATCTGGACCCTCAAATATGAGCATCCCTGACTTTAGGGAAAGCTGAGGCATGGATCTGAGCTCCATAGCGCCAACTGAGCTCCATTTATTTTCTGGTGTCCATGAATATTCAAATACAGAATGTCAGCTTAGAGTTAGGACATAATTTCTTATCTAAACAGTCATTTGCTAATTTGGTACCTGATCCTGCATGATGCTCAGCATCTCCAGCAGGATGCTGAATAACCTTGACTGCCCATTAAGTGTAAGGGGAATTCAGGATTCTCATAATACTTAGCTCTTATACAGTGCCTTATGAGATTGACCCATTATATTGTAAACTCCTTGGGGCAGGGAACGAGTCTTTATGCTTCTAAAGTGCCAAGTATGTCTGGCTCTATGTAGATTTCTCAGATTATTAAGAAAGAAATAGGTCAGAAAGCACCTCAGTAGGATACCACGAAAATGGACCCCAGCTCACCAAAGCAATTTAGCGTGATAACGGGACTCCAAGGGGCATGGCTGGATTGCTTTGCTGAATCAGAGCCTGAATCTTCCTCCTGCCAAGGCAGCCCTTGGAGCACCACTCCTAAATGTGGTAGTAATTCTAGAAGCCCTAAGGAAAGTCAGAATAACACCACTGATTTTATAAATAAGGATCTTTATTTAGAATATTGTTGAAAACATTCTGGGCAATCACATTGTATAAATATATAAAGTTAAAGTTTGGCACAACAAACCAAGCAACATTAAATATTTAATTCTTTTTTTTGTATTTTTGTTTGGGGTGGGTTTTTTTGCAAAGCAACTCTTATTTACAATTATACAAAAAAGTATTATAAAAAATGGTCCACAACCTTATTTTGGGCATGATTGGGGGTAACAGTAAGGATGTCTCATGTCATTACTCCTGACTCGTTTTCTTCTTTTCAAAAGTGTTATCAGAACTCAAGAGCCAGGTTCCCATTCCCCAAAGCACAGATTATAAACATTGGCCATCTTGTGCTATGCAATTTTACCTCTAGACATATTAAATAGCTTTAGTTCAACAACCAATAAATAATTAAGTGTATTTTGAAGTAATATAGGCTTGAAAAATTATATATTTGAAGGAATTTTCAGAGATATTTTAGTACTGGAAAAAGAAATACTTAAGTCTTTTCAAGGCAGGTCTTTGAGCTTGCAGCATATAGCAGTTTGTGTTTGCACAACAAAGCAGCTGGACCTGGCTTTATAACACCTGGTAGATGGGATTGCTGCTGCTGGTGTCCTGGGGAATCTGGGTGCAGTTGGTAGGTGAGGGAATTTGGGCTCCACTCTCACTCAGGGTAGCTCCTTCTTGGGGCGAGCTCGGGTTGCCCTCAGCTCCACCTTCCACTGTGGGCAGCACTGGGCAGGTGGAGTTATCTGTGGAAATCCTCTCCACAATGCTTGATAGACAGTCCAGGCTGGAGACAACTGAACTTTTCCCATGTTTTGGATCTAAGGATAGAGTTAAAAGGAGATCAATAAACCCAATAAGTAATTAATGCTAAGGGGAAGTATTCTTCCAGAGGACCCAAAAAACCACCAGCCTTGCATGGCTCTGAGCACATAAAGATTCAGTGGAAATGTATGTCAAATAAATATTATTGAAAGATGCCAATCCCTAAAAATCAGAGACAATATTAGAACTTGCAAAGTAGTGAAGGGCCCAAGCCTCAAAATTTGGATGTGGACTACTACCGGTCTGAGGGAATTTGGAGCCCGGGTTTTGGTTTGATACCGAAATGGGGCTGGTTGCCCTGGATTCAGCTGAGAACTTCTCCGAAGTTTGGATCCAAGTTTTTGGGTGGGTCAGTCTCTGTTGCAAAGCAGTTTAAAATCTGAAGCCTGTTTTCAGAGACGAATATGCATGCCAAAGCACAGTGTAAGGAATATAATTGTTACATGAAATGCATATACAAGATGTCCTCACATTTGCAAACAGAATCATGGAAACAGTTGGGGGAGGGGTTGTCCTGTATCAGTGCCCACAGCTTGCTGGCTGAGCACAAGTCGTGACAGAAGGGGCAGGGGAAGTTTTCTCTGCTGACAGTCTCCACCTCCACACACTTGTCTTTGGCATTAAGGCAAATACTCACCATTTGGTGATTCTGTATAGTAATTGCTGTCATAGCTATTCCTCCTGCGAGAGCTGCAAGAGGGCCCACTGTACTCCATCTGGAAACCAAAAGAATGGACGCATGACACCAGCTCAGAAGCAGAATTTTCACAAAGTCTCCAATTACCATCTAATTTCATATTCCAGTCTTTAGTCTGCACCATAGCCCCAGTCCTTGCTGAAATATGGTAAATTTTTAGCTTCCCTGAATGAGGGGAAAAAACCTTTCCGGGAAGATATTAAATACAGAATATTTTCTATTACTGAATTATTCCAAGGATTTTTTGCCACACACAAAGAAAAATGTGTAACATTGTAATCAGTGATTGCTCTGACTCTTTGAATTACAGTACAGAACATTTGGTCCTTGATTTGTTACGGGAGATGATGGGGAAAGCACTTAATTGTCATAATATTTTAAAAGCGTTTCCCCCATCAGTCATCTTTCTTCTTCACGCTCTTTCCATTATCATTTCATACAGAAAAACAGCCTGCCTGGTATGGTTTATACTTTGATACTTTCACACACAATGACAGAGATCGCACCACCAAAAGAAAAGAGAATGCTGTATTTTGAGGAGGGATTAGTTCCATAAATCTTCCCTCAGCTCTGCTAACTCTATTATCCTCCCAAACATTCAGCTCCAGTAATGACCATCCCCTTCAGGGAATAGCCCTCTGTCCCAGTGGGTCTTAAAGCTTTACTGTGATTCCCATCTCAGACGTACTCTGTGTTTGAAGAGTGGGGGCCAGGGACAGCTAGGCTGCAGCCCTAGCTGTACAATGAGGTGAAGAGATTCCCCTTGCTCCCCTGCTCCAGGATCAGGAGCTCCCCTCTCTGTGGGTTCCCCTTATAAGGATCAGAGAATGTGGAACCCAAGCAAGACTTCTCCAGAGCTGCACTCAGAGGTGATCAGGAACCCACAGTACCCCTATCTGCTGCTACACTGTGGTCACAGAGGGAAGCCCTTCCTCAGGGGTGCCCTCATAAGGGCCCCAGCTCTCCTCACTGAAATCAAAGTGTGATAGCACCCACTGTGACTGAGGCCAGAAAACTAGGTCGTATCTCTCACCAGCCCTTCTGTGACTCCCACGTTTATTTCTAAGATCCCCCAGCTACTCTGCCCCTGGTCTGTCCTTGCAGGGTTCAGAGATAAGGACAGCAGGCACATCGGAATGGGGATCCCTACCTTTCCTCTCCCAGGGATCAGACACTCCCCTCCCTACACTCACAGGGGTTTCAAAGACGGGCTCCCCGATCAGGGTATATAAGGGACCGCATCTCCCTTCCCAAGGAGGGGCCAGGATACATAGGAGCCCACTCTCCTCCCAGGGATCAGCGTATAGGAGGGGACCGCATCTCCCACCTCAGGGAGGGGCCAGGATACACAGGAGCCCTCTCCCCGATCAGGGTATAGATGGGGACCTCATCTCCCATCCCAGGGTCCGGGAACACGTTGGGACGCCCTGTTTCTTTCCCAGGGATCCGGGGGCGGCTCCTCCTCTCCTTCCTCCCGGGGATCGGGGTATAGGAGGGGGCCTCACTTCCCATCTCAGGGGCCGAGGGCCATGGCAGCCTCCCCGCCCCGGGCGCACTCACCATGCCGTCGGAGCAGTTGGAGCGGGGGCTGGAGGCGTCCGACTCGCCGCTGTAGTGCTCCAGCCCCGGGTAGTAGCTGTCCTCCTGCTCCCGCAGCAGCGCCTGCAGGCTCTCGATGTAGCGGATGGCGTTGCGCAGGATCTCCACCTTGGGCAGGCGCTGGTTGGGGTTGGTGGAGGTGCAGCGCTTGAGCGTCTCGAACGCCTCGTTCACCTTGCTGAGCCGCCGCCGCTCCCGCATGGTGGCCGCCTTCCGCCGGTCGGCGTTGGTGGTCTTCCGCTTGCAGGCTTTGCAAGCCCACAGCAGGCAGCGGCCGGCCTGGTGGTGGCCGCTGGGCGCCCTGATGTGCTCGTCCTCGTGGTGGTGCGCGTGGTGGTGGGGGTGCTCCTCCGGCTTCAGCAAGCCACCCACGTGCACCAGCCGCGGGTCCAGGTCCTCGAAGAAGTGCATGTCCGAGGTGTTGAAGCAGGGGTCATCGTAAAAGTCGTCGGCCGCCGAGAAGGAGCAGAGGGAGCCATCCGTTATCTCCATGGGGCCTAGCAAGTCCATGGGGGCAGCAAAGGGTGGGACGGGCTGAGCAGGAATAAAAAGCAGGGGCAGAAGCCACAGGAACCCAGCCGATCGGTGCAAAGCAAACTGCTTTGATCGGGGAGTTTATTTTCCAGCCGCCAGATAAATTTAGTTTAACTGTCCCCCCCACCCCCTCCAGACTTTTAATGAAGTCGCTCTCACACCACTGTCTCCAATTAATTGGGAGAGAGACACTTTCCTAGGCTTAGACGAAATAGTTCTTTAGCTTTGGCTGGTGATTGTCTCCCTTCCCCAGTTCAGATCTGCCTTGGCATGACACTGAAATACCCTCCGCCGATGGCCATCCAGATAGCACAATTTGTGACTCTTATTTATCCCAAAGCCTTGCTGGAGGGCGGGTGGGGATTCCTGCAGGGCGAGCTCCCTTTCACCTGCCGGCCAATCCCTTAGCCCCAAGGAGGCAGCGGCTGGGGTCTTGGAGGGGGTGGGCAGGGAAGGGGTCGCGTCTGATTGGAGGGCAGCTGGAGCCCTTGTCAGGCAGAAGTTGTAGGAAACTTTTTGCAAATGTCAAACTGCAGCCAGAAAATAAGCGTCACAGTGGGATCATCTTTATTTTAACTCTTTTCTGCACGAGCGCTCCTGTTCTCACCCTTGTTCAAATGGTATTTTAGGCTTTTGTGTCCATGTAAATGTTTGGGGATATTATTTTTATGGAAAGGCTTCCTGCTTAATAATACTGCAAAGAAAATAAAACCACCTATGTTCAGGTTGTGATCTGTGCTTCTTCTACGGAGTCTTTTGGCACGTGCAAAAGACTTCTGCTGTTAAACTGAGCTATTGGCTATTGCAGATGAGGTAGAGCTAGCTGGCTAAAATAGAGATTTCTCTTTTATTGCACTTTACAAAAGTTCTCTTCTGTTCAGCGATTAAGAAACCATACAATAAAACGAGAGAACCAAATGAGTGACAAAGAAAGGAATATACGTTCCTTTAGTGGTAGCTTTCAAATGTATCTTCCCGGTGGTTGATATATTGAGTGGTGTCGCTTGTAAGGGAACATTGGCCCTTCTTGTAAATATGGGAATAGCAACTTTTTCGTTCAGACGGAAATATAGCTTCGCATTGCAGGTTGATTTTGTTTTGTTCCTATTGTAATGTGTCTTTTCAGGAAATGCGAGTGAGCTGGCTCCTGTTTTTAGGATCACACAGATGCACTTTACGGTTTTCCCCTCTCTCTCCAGCCTTTAGTTTCTCTCCTGGAACCCTAATATTTTCTCATCCAATGATTTGCCAAAGCGAAAAACAAAATAATGCGGTGTAACTTTTGTACCTAGGAATAGGGCTCAGTTGATTTTCAAGGAGTCCGGGAAGCAGTCCGAAGGCGAAAAGGGACTACTGTATTATCGGTGTTTTCCCCTCTACATCATTTTCTTTGCGTGACTAACTCAGTTTGTGGTCTGACAGGAGAAAACATTGAACGGTTCGAAAACTTTCCACGTAGACTTCCCGTCACTTTGAATAGTCGTGACTCCGTTGTAATAGTAATGCCAGGCCTCTGGCCAGATAATCGTACTGTTGAGTTTGATTTGTAAAAGAACCCCCTAAAATAAATCGAGCTGGAGCCGAAGAGCGTCACGGCCTTTGCCTGAACGCCGTGCGAGCCGTCTGGTGCGTGCCCACTTGCCAGCTCCCCCCATTAAGAAAGGAGGGGACACTGGCATTGATCGCCGGCTTCCCGCTGAAGATGCAATTGATTTGTTTGTTCCTGTCTCGGGTTTGCTTTTTACTGTATGCAAAGCTGTGAGAATAGGGACCAAGAAGACAAAAAGCGCGTTTAAAAGAACAACTGGAGAGATGGCACCTTTAAGCAAAGGAAATGAGTTTGGAAGTGGGTGGGTATGGGGTTTGTGTCAAGGGTGGACAGAGAAAGGCTCCTGAAAGGCAATCATTGCCTTAGATTATCTAGAAATATATTCGACCTTCACGTCACGCGTCAGCCTTTCGGGTGACAGGGAAAGGCATTAGGTGAGCTTTGTGGCACGGCTGCCTCTAAAATGAAAGCCGCAGCTTGTCGTCACGTCGCGAGGCAATTCTCCGCGGTGAACTTGCTTTGCAGAAAGAGCCGGAGGCCACCCAGCCATTTCTCCCCTCCCCGTTTATTTCAGCCCCCGTTGACTTCGGGCCTCTCTCTGGGACAGAAATAGTATTTGATCAGCCTGCCCGGATGTGTGCCCCTCTTTTCCAGGCTGATACCGTGCGGAGGGGGTGTCTTTCTCACACGACGGAGAAATCAGGTGTAAATCTAGAAGAGGGAGGAAATGTTGGAAATGAAAGAGAGAGGCCTAGCGGTGTGTTCAAAGGGCATCAGGCACGGGAGGGAGTTCCTGGCAGCCCCCGGGGCGGGGGCACGGTGCTGAGCGCTCCCGGGAAATAGTACGCGAGCCCGTGCAACGAGCCCCTCACGCTCGGGAGGAACCAACACGCCACCAAAGGCCCATGGACGCCGGCTCGTGGGGTTTGCTACAGCTCTCAGCGGCCGGGGATGGGGCAAGGGCGTGAGGAGCGGGACGGGCCAGACGGGGGTTGGGGAAGAGGAAGGGGGTTGCGGGGGGGGGAGGAGGAATACAGGGGAGTCAGTCGCTCGCGAGGGTTGCACAAGCACGGAGCCACTAGGGGGAGATCGAGCCTCGCCCGGCAGCTCGTCGCGGCTCCATGGGCGGCTGCGCGCGGCCCTGCAAGCCGAGACCGTCCAGCCCCCGCAGCGCGGCGCAGAGAAGCGGGGTGCCCGTGGAAACCCGAGGGTGAGGTTGGTTAGACGCTTACACCGAGTCCCACCCTTCTAAGGCGGGGGGTGTTAATCACCTGAACGCGTAGAATTAGGAAAGCTAGACACCCCCCCCCGCCCCCATCCTGCACCTCCCCGGCTGTGTTGCACAACTCGGCCGCTAGGGGACGCCCCCCTCACTCTCTAAAGCTGCGTGTTTCCCGCAGTTGACAGGTAAGTTTCACAGAAACCCCCTTGGTCTCAGCCCGCCCCGGGCTCAAGCTGTCTCTTTAAATGCGGCTCCTGAAATATTACTCAGAAGGTTCATGGTACAATGGTGCCACCTGCAGAGGAAACCTCTGTGCTGCAAGGAACGCCTGGGGCAGCTTTTTAGGTGAGCAAGTGTCAAGCCAACAGACCGGGTCCAGATCGAACCTGGGACCTTTGTGCATGAGCCTCTACCGCATGAGCTAAAAGCCAACTGGCTGTTAAGCAGACTCATGTCATCTCTCTCTTTAGGTGGTCTTGGTGCCACTAGATGGGACAGAACACCATGCCCAGGAGGTGTGCGGGTTACACAACCAGTTGAGACTGAAGGAGGGGTGCCAAGCCCAAGTAAAGCTATTGCAAGCCTGGATAGTTTGGGGCTACATTTTGACCTTACAGAAAACAGCTGTGTGTGGGCGTGCAAGTGGCTGCTGGAGCAGCAGTTGAGGCCTCCTGTTGGCTTAGGAGCCATAACCTAACCCTGGTTAATGGCAGTCACGTATTTTGGGGACAAGTTGATGCCTCTAAGAAACCAATGGAGTAATGTATTAGTGATGAATCCCCTTAGGAGGACTGAGTTCACAACTATTTGTAGCTATCACCTCAGTGTAGCAGAGCAATAGCAGGTATGACATGGCCTACTATGGCATGTTGATTTGAACTGCAAGTTACCCCTTCACATAAGAGCATCTGTTTGTAAAACACTTGCAAGGAAGTTGACACCCATCCTCACTCATCCTGAGTACTCTCTTGCTGTGCATGTACTCCCATACATTTCAGTGGGACAGCTTCTGGAGTAAGGGTGCTACTGAGGTGAGCAGAGGTGACAGAATTTGGACCTTAGGAAAAAAAAATGTCAGCACCAAACAAATGCCGGGACACTCCCTTTACACAGTTCACATATAATGTTTAGAATGCTTTGCTCGCAGTTTAGAACATCACTTATTTCTAGCGTTTTAGCTGATGTTAATTCTCTTTGTTGCTGATTTAGAAGGGTTTGAACAGTTTCACCTCTGCTTCCATTTTAAAGGGGCTGATCCTGCAAAGACTTCTGCATCCCATGGATAAGATTACCCACAGGAGTAGAGGTACTTGCATGTGTGTTTGTAGTTAGCATTAACTGGACTTTCATAACCTTTAATCCCACATCCACGATCAGTGATTAGTTGTTTTAATAAATAAAACAAAACAATAATAATAATTAAATTATAAAGGGGGTTTTAAAACTGCTTAGCAGCTTCTGCTTGGAAGGGTGCAACAGTATATGTGTGTGTTTTCCAGCACTCTAACATTGTTAATGACATAAGCAATACCACATATTTGAAATGAATACACCCCCAGTTCAAATCAGAACTTACTTTGCTGGTTTCATGGAATGGTTAGTTCTTTTCCTTCTGAGTACTGTACAAGAATCAAGTAAGAGATTGTTGAGTCTCCTGTTCTTTTTGTTGAGTTTATGTTTGCACTAACAAACTCAGCAATGTTATGAGAGAATGTTATATTTAATGTATTTGTGTACATTTCAGAAGAATTGTAAGAATGTAAAAAAAAAAATCACAAAACTGACAAATTTTTGACAAAAAGAAAAGGAGGACTTGTGGCACCTTGGAGACTAACAAATTTATTTGAGCATAAGCTTTTGTGAGCTACAGCTCACTTCATTGGATGCATTCAGTGAAGTGAGCTGTAGCTCACAAAAGCTTATGCTCAAATAAATTTGTTAGTCTCTAAGGTGCCACAAGTCCTCCTTTTCTTTTTGCAGATACAGACTAACACGGCTGCTACTCTTAAATTTTTGACAGTATCCCTGACAAAGTAAATTGTTAATGTAATTCATCTGGTATAGTGCTTACACCATAGCGGACCTGGCTGTGCATTCTATGTACATCTGCAACTCCCATTGACTTCAGTGGAGGTTCTGGGTGGGTAAGGTGTTCAGGATTAGACCCGCAGTGAGAACCGGAACAAGAAGGATTATAAACTAGAGGCAAGAGGGGAATCTTAGCCCACAATAGAGTAATAAATAATAAAATATAAAGGTGTTTTTTTAAAAAAAAAAAAATCTAATCCTGCCTACAATTAGTTTCCCTTCTGCAGTTATAAACATAGTGTGAAATCCTGGCTCCATTGTAGACAAGGGCAAAGCGCCCACTGACTTCAATGAAGCCTCTATTTCATCCATAGTCCATAAAATTAAAATATTTACTGTGGTCCAATCCTGAATTCCTATTCATACAATAGTTCAATTAAATTATTTATTAATGATTAATTCTTTTTAATCATGTGATTTCATTTTTCAACAGTTCCCAATTTTCCATCTAAAAAGCCTTCTCAGATAGAGTCAGAGCTGAGCCCTATTAGTCACATTGCACCATTGCCCCCCACCCCCAAATCAGTTTTGTTTTAAACAGAAAACTGACTGGGTTGAATATTGTTCTGACTCTGTACTACCTCTTTCTTTCACTTTGTCCCCAGCGCTGAAAAGCGATATGTCCCAATGAGATCAGCTATTGACCACCCTAACACATTCATAATTATATATCCCAGCTGTTCCTGAGAGGTAAAGTAGAAAACTTGTGGAACTCTTCTTGTTTCAACCCTTTGCTATTCTAACAGTGATTCTTGAGCACAAAAAAGAAGTAGACTTTCCTTTTTCTTTGTGAAGTATTTCCCTAGCAACTAAACAAAGTAAAATACATATTTTAATACTGTTAGATGTGTAAGAAACCATATGTATTTTGAATGAGAAATTGGGAAGAAGGGTGGCATATTACAGTTGTTAACAACGTGAGACGGAGATAGGGCTGCTTGGTTCTAATTCTGGCTATGTCAAAGGCTTACTATATGACCTTGTCAAGCTATTTAACTTTTCTTTAACTTAGTTGTCCCATTTGCAGAATGGGAATAATTTAAAACTATATATAGCTGTGTTATCTGGCCCTTTAAGAGGGGTTCAAAGATCAGCTCTAAACCTGTTCCTGGTTCAGCCTACAAATACGGCATTCTGGAACCTGTGCAGCTAGACTATGCTAGTTGTAGGCTAAGCAGCAACGAATGCTGGGAAAGGCAATAGAGCTAGAAAGAGTTCTCTTTCCCCAGTAAGGCAGAAACTAGGGAGGTAACAACTCTTTGTAGGTCATTCCACCTGAACAGATTTTATTCTTGGGTCTCTCCAATCAAAGGTCTTGGAAAGTATTTTGGAAGAATATTGGGGAAAAGTCTAAACAGAGTGCCAAAGGGCTGGTTAAAGTACTGAGTACTTGGTAGTGTTTTGGGTTATGAAGCCAGAGCCTGGGGGAAACCTGGAGAGAGCAGAAGCTACTTGTTGATCGCCACCAAAGACCTGTGGCAGAAGTCCAGTGGTAAAGAATGACATGAGAGTCCCTGCACTGTAAATATTGGATTCATTTTGGACTATTTGTTTTGTTGGACTTCCCTTTAGCCTGCACTGGGAGGAGTTTTGGGAGTTGGCTAGGGGAGTAAATTAGCCTTCCAAGTTGAAAAGTGATTGAGCCTACACTAGATTCTGGAAAGGTAAAAGACTCAAATAGCACGGGGGAGAGGTATTGTGAGAATTGTTCACAAACTACTTGGATGTGGGTTTTTTTTTTTTTAATTGCAATGTGTTATTAGAAGAGTAGTTTGGTTGCATTCACAACTAACTAGCAGCATTTTGGTATTTACAAAGGGCTGAAATGTGTTACCCATGCTTACAGTAAATGGGAATCAGAGGAACTAATTATGGAATAAGTTACTGTTCAGCATGAGTATGGGTATTGGAATCTGGTCAGAGATGGAAATATCCCTTTAACTATCGCAGCAGCCTAGGAAAATGATCCCAAACATTGCCATTTACAATAGTGTTAGTACAGTGGTTTAGACCATTCTGGTGGAATACTGTAGCATTTTTGTGGTAGAAGGTAGAGGAAGTTATTTTTTCCATAAGAATCTGAACAGTCCACTGGAGTAATAGAAGGAAGATTGGGAAAGTGACTTAGATGGAATAAGGTGTTACCAAAATAAGTAAGTGGCTAGAATGTGTGATTTACAGAAATGGGCACTTACTACAGCTGTGTGCAGCACAGCAAACTAAGAAATCAGACAGGGTTTAATTTTTGTTTTTTTAAACATTTCACTTTGACTGGTTTTCTTGAGTTTTGTTTCCCTCCTGTTTTCTTCCACTTTCATAACTATATTTTTGGTAGCAGATAAATAAAGGGACAATTCTGATATTAAAGATGGTTTGTGTGCTTAAAGAAATCTTGCCTGTCAAGTATATATAGTAAATTGAGAATTTTAGCGTTATATCTACAAAGAGCCATTTTTCTATCTAGAAATTGTATCTTTTCCAAAGATATTAGGAATATTAAAGTATTAATAAAAAATTGAAGAAAATTTCAAATACACTAGCTAATCTTTTGATGTAGGCAACTCCGAAGTGTCTAAATTTTGTTATACAGTGACTTAGTTCTATATTGGCAATACAGTAATAACTTACTGAAAAGCAAAATTGAGTGGGGACTCCTTGAGTAGCCCTTTTAATTGCTAATGAGTCATACCTACACTGGATACAGTGAGGATACAACATTAGACATTACTATTACCTGCCTACAGCTAATTTGGGAAATTCTGATGGTTGGTCCATTAAGTAATAGCAGAATGTGTGTGGGGAATTAATGCAGTTGCCTAGGTCTCAGTCAGGCCAGGACACTACAGTTAATACCTCAGTTTACACTTGTGCAAATTGCCCAGGTATCTGTAGTGATGGCAAATGGTAGAGACCTTTGTTTTAAATCTTATCTGAAAGATGGTTTGACAGTCTCTACATGTACATTCTTCCCCTTTGGAAGACTATGGTAAGTGCTATAAAAAGTATGCCTTGTGAGATATCATTTGAAAACTCAATTTACTAATTATTGTTCTGGTCAGATGTGTGGCAACATTGTATGTAAAGTTATAGGAGTCTACTGTATGATATTACTAAAGACATGTTCTCAATCTGAGGAAGAGTCACAAACAGGTTCTCCAGAGACAAAGGTGAGCCTATGCCTCAGCCAGATCTCAACAAAAATCAAACGGACTCTCACCTGGTTAAGTAGCCATTCTTTGACAGGAAAGAGGATGTGGGTGAAAAAAATCATATCTTGACAAAAACAGCTAGGGGTTCCTGTCCACACAGACTTGTTTCCTGAACCTCAGCTGGAGATGATTCTCAAAGAGAAAGACACCCCAAATTATTCCTCCTGTTCTCTCTACTCATGGCATCAAGAATACTTGGAGAACAAAGGAAGCAGCACTCGACTGAGAGAGGGATCCTGACTGAAAGGAATTCAGTCAGTAAGACTGCTATACCATATGGCGAGAGACCTTTGCTTTGAATTCACTTAGCTTGTTAATTTAGATATGTTTTATTTTCTTGTAACCAATTCTGACTTTTATGCTTCATTACTTATAATTTTATCTTTTATAGTTAATAAACTTGTTTTACCTAAACTAGTGTGTTTGTCATTTTATTAATAGAAAATGATATGCACAAATCCTGTTTTGCCAAACTTTACATGAGCTTGTATTGTCTAGGAGAGAGCTGGGCAATACAAGATGTACATTTCTGGGGAAAAGTCGGGGCCTGGAAATTTGCTGATGTTGATCTGCAGTGTAATTCAAGGGTATCTGGCTGTAGCACTTTTGCAGTGTAACTGGGAGTAATTTGAATGCTGGAAGCTTGTGTGTGAGCAGACCAGGTGTGGTAACTCTCACAGCAAAACAGTGTAAAAGGCATCCCATGTTGGATAACTGAGTGGACACAGCTGTTCATTTGTCCAGAACGTACCCTGGGTAATGTCCCGGTGCCACAGCAATTCTTAAACAATATGCTGTCCAGCCAGTACAAGGAATTTCTGGCACACTAGTTCACTACTGATTCAGAGGGAGTTGAGCCATTCACCAAATAGCCTTTCTGAGTGCAAGCAAAGCAGATAACTAGCCCAATAGTCAGAAACAGTGGAGTGCCATGTTTCTACAAATAAGTACTCATAACTGTGTATAAAACATTAATATCCTTCATCCTGGAGAAGTGTAGAACTAGAAATAACTTGGATAGAAAGCAGTTTATTGAATTACTCTATTATAATTGCTACAAAAGTTAGAAAAATATAATGGAAATCCCCCTCATTTTCCAAACAAGTCTCTTAAAAATATCCATGTAATATTTACAAAGACAGTAAAAATGTTTTTAAATGATTACATAGTACAATCTGTATTGATATAATCTGGAACTAGGGGTGCTGCCGCATCCCTTGACTTGAAGTAGTAATAACAACCCAATACATGGTTTCCATCTTCAGCACCCCCCCTATAAGAATAGTTCCAGCAGCACTGTATAATATAGTAATTATCTTATCTGTTTAATAATATAAACAGCTATAGTTTCTCCAGCATAGAAATTACTCTGTATTATAAAGGGTTTTTGTTTAAAAAGCCTTCTATACTTAAAAAATCTCTTTTGCACTAAATAATCCAACCAAACATTTAAGACAGGAAAGAAACCTAGAGGTCTGGTAGTTTCCAAATAAAGAAATGTTATTTATGCCTAAGAGACCCTGAAAGGTTAAATTAATGTTGACAATCTCTACATCTAGCAGGCTTAATAACTATGCTACAAGGAGGCGGTATATTGCAGATTGGATTCTGTGCTGCACTTTGGAGGAGGCACACCACAGAAAGCACAGCCCAGGAGGAAGAGTGTAAAGGGGCACGGGGGTGGAGTCATGGGGCTTTAAACCACCATTTTGTCTCCTGGATTTGAGACTCAATTTGGAGCCAAAGCATCCCTGGGGCTGACAACTTACATCAGCCTCCCCCGTGGCTGCCTACCAGTTTCTCCATTGCCCAGAATGGGCATAGTGCTCCAACTATTCCTTCTCTTGCCTCCGTTTTGCCCCTGGCATATTCTTGCCCAGAGGCTGTGAGGAGGGACAGCACTGGTTTGCATGCATTGGCCCTATGCTGCTTCTCTTCTGGGAGAATTCTTTTAGGGGCTGTTGCAACCCCTTTGCAGTTCCTCTATATTGCTGAAGAGGTGTACAGGGGGTGCAGTGGTGACTAGAATCTGTCTCTATGCCTCTTTTTAGCTCTTCCTGTAACCGTTCCATAAGGTAATCTCCAAGGTTGCCTCTGCCATCTTGGGAACACACAAGCCTGTGAGCATTGGTCAGGAGGTCTCCCATCAACTTGATCTTCCGGATCTTGGGTTCAATAAATTGTTTCTTAATAGTGCTTGCACTATGAGGATCTGCATTCTCAATGCTCAGGGCATAAAGCTCTTCAAAATATCCTGTCACATTTTTCCACTGAACCAATGCTACTTCAAGGGCCTTCACCACATTGGATACATGTTCACAGTTTGGTCTCTGGAAACATAAAAAGCAAGACAATTGTCAGAGTCACTGCTATTTACCTGAAACGCTTGGTCTTCCAAACAAGAAATGCATTGCAGAAGGATGCTACATTTTGCAACAGCTCCTTCCATTTCTATGCATTTACTAAATCTTTTCTGAGTCAGCGGTCAGAATTTGCCACTTCCAGTACACTTACTAACAATAACATGTTTCAATTCAGGCAGTAAGGATTCAGATAGTTGCAGCTATAATGGAGATTCATTCTCAAAAAACAACTACAAAAAAACCCCAACAAAAATATCCCTCCCTCCCCCAAACCTCTTGCTCTACGCTATGAAAACTGAATGTGTTAGTTATTTAAGGGCAACTTTTTTACGCATGGCTGCTATAAATGAATGCTGTGAAGGGCATTCAGTAGTACTACACATTTAACTGTTTATAGGACACTACTTTGATACAGAAGTCTGAGGAGCCTGATTCTCCTATAACTTAAGAGTTTACACACAATTTTACTGATTTCAAGTTACTCTTGATTTATACTTGTGTAGGGAGATTAAAATTTGGCTTAAAAATCTCTGGGCCAAATTCTATTACTTCAGTTTTAGACTGGTAGAACTCTGAGGTCAATGGACTTGCACCACAGAGAACTGAGGCCAGAATCTGGCCCTCAGTTTCAGAGTCAGTGGCAAAAGTTCTGCATAGCTACTTCTACCACAGCAACAAACACCAGACTGACTAGGGAGCAAAATGTTAGAGAAAAATATAAATGAGTGCCCTCATTTTATCTTTGGCTAGAAAAATGAAAACCCTAGAGTCAGGGTTGCATGTCTAATAATAATAAAAAAAGTCCCTAAAGAAGAACAAGAGTTTAAGTGAATATGATTGGGGAATTAAAGTATTTGGAAAGCTAATGGTGGATAGACCCAAAAGTTGGGAGTGACAGGTATATGAAAGAGCAGATTTGTCTGCTGCACACCTGGATGATTTTGGTACAGTAATGGCCTCCTCTCTCTTGAAGATATTTCAGCATGGCCTCTGCAGCTTCCTTCTCTTCTTTAGCCTGCTGCCGGAAAAACTTTGAAAAGTTTGGTAGAGCCACATCAGACTGATCAAAAACTTCACCCTACATATTTAAACAACAAAAATTACTGTTAAAGTATGAAAGCCTGGAGTTGGGAGGAAAGAAGGGGGAAATTAATAGCCAACGGAATACAGGTCAATCAGATGGAATATTTAAAGAACAAAGGAGAACATTTTCAATAGTGCTTCTAACTGCCTTTGGCACCTCTAAAAACTTCCACCCCAATTATAACAAATTGAAGTAAGTCAAATGTTCTTCCAGATCAGCTAGTCTGCATCTTTTTAAGAATGCATACACACACCCCAGTTCACTGAACATTAAACATGAGACTATTGTATTGGTAACACTGTTTGCTTTGAGTGATATGCTCCTATGACTTCTAGCTTCAAATGGGTTTTTGATTTGGGGGAAAAAATTAAACAGCTATCAGAAACTGATGACTATCTTCATCTGTGGGGAAACGTATCCAGATCCTTTCACCATCACCACTAGCAGACCCAGAGGGACCCACTTAGGGCACCAAAATTATCAGCTTCCTTTCCCTCTCCACCAGAGGTAATGTGTAGGGAGGACAAGTGTCCCCCTTAGACTGGCCTGCCGGGGTGGGGAGGGAGAGGAGCTCTGAGGGGTGGCCACTGCCAGGCTCTTTCAGGTAGAAGCAGCTCCATCCCATTCGCCACCTAGCTGCCAGGGAGAGCAGCCAAACATGTGGCGGGAGAGGCGCAGGTAGAGAAGGACAGACCTCTCCCTTTCCCTCCCTGCAGCTAATGTGGGGCTGGGTGCAGAGGGCAGTGGCGGTGTCACTGGGCAGGGGAGACATGTGGGAAGACAAGTGTCTTCCCCTTTAGATTGTGCCCCCAGTATGGGGAGGCACCAGTTGTCTATCCTCTCCAGATACCAGCAACCTGGGGAACCATCTCAGCCTCCTGACATCACTGTTCACTCCACTCGGAAACTGTAATGCTGGATTTTTTCTCTCTCCTTTACTGCATTGCCATTGGTTGCAGATACACTTTCATCCCACCCCTTTCCTATCTACACAGCACTTTACCTGCCCAGTATCACTCTTCTTCCCCTTATGTTTCACCCTTCTCCTGACCTCTCTTCTCTCCTTTCCCTTCTTCTGCCTAATCTCCTCATACTGAGTGCCCTCACCCCCCCACCCCAAATTGACTTACCCAGATTTCCATTTTGAAGAACAACTCCACAAGACAAAGGATTATTTAAAACAAAAACAAACACACACTATATTGAAACTGCTAAGGGCCCAATCCTGCTTTCCTTACATACCCAAAATTCCCATCGACTTAACTGGAAATGTTGGGTGCATTAGGAATGTAGGATTGGTCCCTTTATACATACACAAACCCCCTCTTAAGGGTACCACTCAGATCTACTATAAATAAATATATTAAAAGCCAAATTCTGCCACTCTGAATTAATGTAGAGAAGTACAGTAACTTCAGACACTCCAAGATTTAAACTATGCTCAACTGTCCGTTTTATTCATATTGGGTGGAATGCAGGTAGACTGTGGAAAGCCAGTACCAAGACCTCTTCACCATTTAAGTCCCATAACACGAATGTGCAAGGCAGACCACAGCACGTGAGGGCTTCTGGACTGTGGAAGAGGATTTTGCATTGGCCCCTGCACAGGCTGACATGAAGCATGGTGAAAGGGTAGCACTGGGGGGCCAGACAGGCAAGGAGCCAAAGGATCTACAACTATATTGATCCAGTGGTTCTATCAGCCTACACAGGAGATGTAGAGTTGCCACTCGTGCAGATTATGCCTTGGAGTAGTCTCTGCTGAGGGACTGTTGCAGCCCTGTGACCTACCTATGCACTGTGGGAGAGAAAGGTGTATGTTTGGGGGTTTGCATATCTTCTTCTGTCCCTGAAACTCTCATTTAGAAATGTGCACAAAGCCTAAGTAATTAAATCTGACACACAGTAACCATCTACTAAAACATGCCAAGAACATGTTCAATATAACATGTCCACCCCCCAAAAAAGAACCAACCAAACCTGCAACACTCTGCTAAAGGACTATAAACCATTTATAAGAAATCAACCTACATTCCTCAGTAGCAATGTACTATACCACTTTAAATAGAAACAGAATGGTCACAGATGTATAACAGCTTCTCTTGAATCACTAGAGCTCAGTTAAGAGAACAGAAGAGTATTAAAATTACATATTTTCTCATTAATACAACTTAAGATTTTATCTGAATATACCATATGTAGGTTGTGAATTGTAATATCAATCAAATGCATTAGAACCGACTTGTCTACTATCAATTTGACTGAAAATTTTCAACCAGCCCCTGTTATAAGTGCCAAGTGTTACAATAAATCTATTAAAAAAAACCCCTCTGCCTTAACAGGTGGATGTTTATCAGTTATACTTTTCATTTTTACTGGATTGACGCTTTACACCAAAGTTGATTAAAGGGTCTCACAGATACACAGAGGGTCAGATCCTGCAGTCAATCAATGGACATGTTGTCTAAGGAGTGCAGCATGGGGCACGAGATGTAGGGTGCTGATCATCCTTGCTTCCCAACAACTGATTAATAGCTTTTTTGTAAAGTACACATTTCTTTAATATCTGATATTTCGGCCTAATGTGTTGTTATTGTTTGACCTGTTTGTTGTGGACTTTTGTTACTTAGAGTAAAACTAAAGACTTATCTGCTGAAATCCAGGCATTAGTGTAAACAGATTTTTTTTTTTTTTTTAAAGTCCATGTAAGATGGAACTACTTGCTGGTCTTCACTTCAAATATCAGTGATGTTCATAGGAAAACAAACTGTTCTTTCACTGATTCACCAACACAACCAGTTTTCACCACACACAATCTCCAATGCTTCCAAGCAATATACCCTAAAGTTGCTAGAATTCCTTATTTTTGTCCTCTCTTGTAAACTGATCTTATACACCCAGTTTCCCCACACAAGCTTTGCAGAATATACAAGGCACTGATTTGTTACTGTGTTATTATAGTTTTGTCAGCGTATCTCTAGTGATTTCAGTGGAGTTGCATTAGTGTAAAATTAGAGTAACAGTGGTGGAGCAGTCCCATGTATTTCTAAATTTAAGCACTCTCTCTTCAATCCATTAGTATTGAAAAGATCTATTCAAACGACTGCTCTGAAGCCTACAATCAGCCCTCCAATAGTTGTCAATATTAGGACAAATAACTAGTAAGACTAAATTAACAGAAGCTTAGAATTTAATCACTCTTTTGCTTCTACTGATGGATTCGTTCTTCTGGGAATAATGCTAATTTCAGCTGAAACCACAGGGAGAGAGCAGATTCTGGCCTACTGTGAACATCCAAGGTATATTTTTAACACTCACCCTAGTAATTAAAAATACTGAGCCAGATCCTCAGCTGGAGCAAATCAGTGTACGCTGAATTGCAAAGTTAAACCTGCTGTGAACCTACAAATTGCATGTCTCTGGCCCATAGTGGTCTTTCCTTTCCCCACCCTCTCAACCAACCTTCATTCAAACTGGAACAACCGAAACACTGTCATGTGCTGAAAAACAACTGGGGATTTTGATGCTATTACACACGCCAAAACTTGAACTCCATACTACCATTATACCCCAGCAGTGAGATTGGTGCCTGAGTAAAATTGGGAGTGAGGAATTGGGAATCTGGAGTTTCATTATAACTGATCTCACTGTAAGTGGGTTTCCCATTAGTATCTTTAAGACAGGGGAGGGCAAACTACAGCCCGAATCCAGCTTGTCAGGGCTTTCACTCCAGCCTGCAGGATTGCTAGCCCCGTGGCACAGCGGGGCTAAGGCAGGCTCTGCCTTATTGCCTGCCCTGGTCCCGCGCCGCTCCCAGAAGCGGCCGGCACCATGTCCCTGCAGACCCTGGGTGGGGGTGGGGGAGAGAGCGCAGAGGGCTCCGTGCGCTGCCTTTGCCTGCAGGCACTGCCCCCCACAGCTCCCACTGGCTGGGAACCATGCCAATGGGAGCTTCAGGGCAGTGCACCGTGGAGCCACCTGCCCCACCCCACCCCCAGGAGCCGCTGCAGGGACATGCTGGCCACTTCCAGGAGCAGCATGAGGCCAGGGCAGTCAGGGAGCCTGCCTTAGCCCCGCTGCCACGCGAGGTAAGCGCTGCCGGGCCAGAGCCCACACCCCAACCCCCTGCCCTGAGCCTCCTGCTGCACCCCACATCCCACCCCCTTGCCCTGAGCCCCTTCCTGCACCCATCCCCTGCCCTACATTCATGGCCCTGCATGCCATTTTCCCCACCCATATATGGCCCTTGGGCCAAAAAGTTTGCCCACCCCTGCTTTCAGAGGCAGCTACACCCACAGGCTCTCATAAATTTAGCACAACACAGGGACTGCCAACTTAGGGCTCCAAGGCACCCCACCCACCACCTTGGTGCCAGGGCACGCTGTACAGCTGTTGGAACACACAGCTTCCGCCCCCCCGGCGTGGGCTCGAGGGTGGGGGGTGTGAATGAAAGTAGCCGCAGTATCTACATTCAACAGGACGCTGCGGGGATTTCTGACCCTGGGCCTGGCCCACTTTGCCTGGGGGGAGGGGTGGTGGGGGCAGCCTGAAGCAGCGGGGGAGCGACGCAGAGCCGCGGGAAGGGTGAAGCGAGCCAGGAGGCGTCAGGGGAAGGGCCGAGCGGGGCGGGGGCAGGCAGAAGGCGGCATGAAAGCGGAGCCGGGGGGGGGAGGCGGGCAGCCCCCGCCGCCGCCGCCGCCGCCGCCTTACCAGCGCCTGGAGGCGGTAGGCGAGCTCCAGCAGGGCGCTGGTGACCCCGCACAGGCCTTCCTCCACCGCCGCCGGGAAGTTCTGCCTCGCCCGGCTGCCGACCGCGAGCTGGTGGCCCGGGCACACGGGCAGGCTGCCCCGGCGCTTCTTCAGCCGGGGCTCGGCCATGGCGGCGGGGCTCGGCCCCGCTCCCCGCCGCGCGGCGCAGGGCTGCTGGCGCGGCGCGGTTCCGCCTCTCCCGACACAAAGAGCCGCGCGCCGCGGGCTCCCCTGGCTGCGCTCGCTGTATATAGCCGGCGCGCAGGCCCCGGCAGCGGCCGCTGGCCCCTGGGTGGGGCGCACCTTGCTGCACACCCACAGCGGTTCCTGACCCGCCTCATCGGCCCCCGAGTGCAACCCCTCCCCTCCTTCGCCTGCAGCGCGGGGGCCTCGTCCGGACCTGCCTTAGCGCGGGGAGGCGGTCGCCGCTGCACCACGTTGGCAGGCACGAAGAATAAGGCGCTGCTGCACGGCACCCAGAGGAGAGCCTGCTGGGCCTTACAGAGCAAAGAGACTGGCACGGGTCCCATTGCTCAGCTGGCTGGGGGGACGGGGACTGACCCTAGCGCAAAGCCCGTGTGAAGTGCTACCCTCCCTGTTCGGGAGTGCTGCACTGCACTCCTGGGGATGGCTGCACAAGGTGCAGGGCAGTGGCTCATCAGGCCCTGCCAACCCCGACCCAGGAGTTCGCAGTCTGCAAAGAATTCACCCTTTCCTGAATGCACGCTGCAAGTATTAATAACGTTTGCAACGTTTGAACTCGAGATGGGGCCAGAACCAAATTCCCCAGATGTGGGCTCAGATCTGATTTTTTGTTTTGCAGCTCAGTCCTGTTTCTGTAATGGACCAGATGATGAAAACAGAGCTTACATTAGGAAAGTTTGGATTCTGGTTCATCTTTTGCATCCCCAAGTTTGACTACTTTTACACTAACAAGAATGTGAAGATTTTGACTGCAATATATTATGACGCATTTGAGTTTATCAAATGCACATTTTCTAACACTCACGCTGAATATATATGTTTAAAATAAACTCCACACATTTACAGTGATAAAATAAACAAGAAAACTGAACATCAAACAAACAAACCGAGAAACAAAACAAACAACTAAGGGTTTTAATCAAGTGTGTGATAGATTTGGGCCAGATTTTCAACTTGAGTAAATTGGCATGGTCTCACTGATCTCAACAGACCTATGCTGATTTACACCAGTTGAATATCTGCCTCATTACATCTGAGGTTCTGGTTCTAGCCCATCTCCAACTCTCATACAATTGAAATAGTGTTCATACTTATACCTACAGCTGTGAGTTCACAATAGCAAATGTTGCAAGCGTCAGCAGAATCAACCTTCAGAGTTTTCTCAGCGTCAAGTCTTGCCAAGATCATGCACACACACATTTGTATTGGATATATGTCTATTAAACCATCTACAGGATCCAGTCTATTGATGTTTTGTTTACATTTAAAACTTGAGCAAAGTGGATAATAGAATTGCAAAAGACAGCAGTGCCAACTAAAGAGACACTTGAGGACATTATCCTTTGAGGTACATTCCTCCACTGAAGCATGCATGTACATGCTTCCCTTTAATATCAATGGATATTAAACACAGCATGTATTGCTAGGGCTGAAAACAGCTGGTCATAACTTGTGCAATCAGATACATTACTAGGAACAGAGGTGATTTCCAAAATATTCTGGGAACCAATTGATTTATTCCAATATGTGTTTTGTCATTGGAATTAGTCCTTTAGTCTTTGGTAAGTCTCAAACTATTGTCTGTTAAGGTAACCCTATCTGGCCAGATTAAAATATCACTGATTTTTAATAAAAGTCTAATCCTCTCCTTTCTAGAATAACTTTAAAATATACTCATAAATTTCTAGGGTAACTTCTTGAGTTACTTTATCATATATAATGATAGCTGCATCTCTGTACATTATTAAAGGTAAACCCTTAATTAATATGTGCAGAAGTCAGTGAACTTGAAGCACAATTAATCTCAGCACCTTTCAAATTTGATAATTTTCTGTTCAGTGATTTTCTGTTTAGTAAGCTTAATGTCACATTTTATTCTATGGAATATTTTTTCAAGCAAATCAGGTGATAGATTAAATAAAATACTACTCCCCCAAAGTCTATTCATAAATTTTCCATTGGTGTGAATCTTTATTCCATTGCACATTCTAATTGTTATTAGATGTGACTACATAAGGCAGATCAGACATAATTTGAGAATAGTCTCGTAAAAAGGAAATGTGGGAAAAATGTGAATCTAAAACATATGCTTGTAGTTCAGTATTTACAGCTTAAGATATTTAAATAATCTTTATTCACACTTCCAAGAGGTGACCTCAGATTCTTCAATTTTTATTTAAATTAAATAAAAGGTTCCAACAAGCAGAATGTGAGTTAGTATGTCAGACCCTCATCCTGCAAACACTTAAGCACATACTTAATTATAAGCATTTGATTAGTCCCATTGAAGTCAATAGAACTATATACAAGTAAAGTAGGTTTGTGTTTAAACATTTGCTGAGTCTGAGTAAGGCCTGGTACATACTTAAAAACTTTGGTCAATGTAAAAGTACCCCCCTGATTGCTGTAGCTCTGGTGACCTGACCCCCAGTGTAGACGCAGCTAGATCGACAGAAGCATTGACCTAGCTACCATCGCTCAGGGAGGTGGTGTTCCTATAGTGACAAAAACCCTCTTCCCTCTGTGTAGGCTATGTTTACACTATGGGATTATGCCAGCATGGCTATGGTTCCGTAGTAAGTACCTTACTTAATAAATTACAGTAATTTCAAAAGAAATATAGGTTTATGGTGAAAAAGAGAAAGAAAGAAATCACAATACATCACAGTTTTTGAAAGTTCCTGATGGAGAAGTGGGTGTTCCCTCTAATGGTCCGAGCAGGGTTCTGGGAGCTAGGACTTTTAGGCTCTGTCTATTCCAGGGTTTGCCACTGACTTGCTATGGTACCTTGGGCAAGTCACTTGGGATCTCTGTGTTTCAGTCAAGGACTGAAATGGGATAGCAGGGAAGAGGGAGATGGGCGTGGTACTCTTCTAAATTCCTACTTTAAACCAATGTGACACCACTTGCAGTGGACTGTGCATGCTCAGCTTGGTTTCTCAGACTGGCTCCCCTTTGTTAGGGTTCATGCCATAGGCCTTTCCTCTTCTTCTGTGAAATCAGTGTCAGTATTGCCATAGAATCATAGAAATGTAGGGCTGGAAGGAACCTTGAGAAGTCATCGAGTCCAGCCCCCTATGCTGAGGCAGGCCCAAGTAAAGCTAGACCATCCCTGACAGGTGTTCGTCTAACCTGTTCTTAAAAACCTCCAATGACAGGGATTATACAACCTCTCTTGGAAGCCTATCCCAGCGCGTAACTGCCCTTCTAGTTAAAATGTTTTTCTTACTATCTAACCTTAATTTCTCTTGCTGTAGCATTAAGCCCATTACTTCTTGTCCTACGGTCAGTGAACATGGAGAATAATAGATTGACCTGCTCTTTATAACAGCTCTTAACGTATTTGAAGACTTATCAGGACCTTCAATCTTCTTTTCTCAAAATTAAACGTGCCCATTTTTTTTTAGCCTTTCCTCATAGGTCAGGTTTTCTAAAACGTTTATCATTTTTTTTAAGTCTCCTTTGGACAGTGTTCAGTTTGTCCATATCTCTCCTGAAGTGTGGCACCCAAAACTGGACACAGTACTTCAGCTGAGGCATCACCAGTGCTGAGCAGAGTGGAACAATTATCTGTTGTGTCTCATGTACAGGACTCCTGTTGATACATTCCAGAATGCTATTAGCTTTTCTAGCCACTGCATACATTTTTGACATATTCAATTTGTGATCTACTATAGCTTTCAGATCATCTCATGATGAGCATTCAGAATATTTGGTGTTTTTCTTCAGGCCCCAGCTGCTGAATCTTATTATATGAGAAGCTTGTCTTCCAATTTAAAAAAAAGTTTCTAGCCTTCCTGGTTGCAGAGAAAAGCCTATAAATGTGAACCCTAAAGTGTTCAGAACCAGAAGGCAAATAAAAAGAACCAAAATATGTTATAATATCTCATGATTTTCAAGTCAGGGTCACGATTTCTGGGGGACTTATTCATGATTTTTAAATGCTTGGGATTGGTGGGACAGTATTGCAATATGATCCTGAGTGTAAGCACCAGAATGAGATGTCACTAACGTAGAGTGTGCAGATCTTCCTATTATGTTTGTCCCTCTCCTTTCTAATATGCTTTGATCAATAGTAAAATAATTAACTATGTTGATTCTTCAGTTATCATATTGTTAAATTGTATAGTCAATTGCTTGACCACACTTTGGTTTGTTATGAGATATACTCAAGAGACAAAATAACCAATATCAGTTAGGTTTATTGCTGTGAGCCATTAATTATACAGTGTGGAAAAAACATTCGATATGATACCAGTCTCTGGTCGTGTTGTTATATTCACCTTATGTGAAAGGTTGGTCCCAAAGTTACACTCCTAATGCATCTTTTATATCGAACCTGTTTACAAGTACAGGGTTCTGTGTGCACCATCTGAAACTACCTGTAATAAATCAGCTTTCTATCTTGTTTTTCTGATTCCTAGGTCTACCCTTTATGTCTTTGTTCTGAACACATGCATTCCAAATACCACAGGATGTGAAGGCACCTCCTAGGTTTGTACTAGGGTAGAGCAATCATGTTTTGTCCTCTTCCTTTGGGACATTCCAGTACCAGCCTATGAGAATAACTCCCTACCAGGTGCTAGGGTAAAATAATCATATGTCATGAGCCTAACGACTTTCCTTTCTACTTAAGCCAAAGCTTACTTCAGCTAATGCAAGGTATTATGGGATACTTAATATAAATGAACAGGATTATAGTGAAAGTAAAGGCCAATTTAGGCTATGTAACTGCTATAATATTTGTGCTTAATTCTATCTGTGCTTAATGCATACGTGTGTGTGTGTGTGTATGTGCTAACCAGCACGTATTGGTCAACAATATTTAAAACCGGTTGGCAAATGACTTTTCTCATGCAAACAAAGGTCCATGAAAATTTAATTTTTTTCATAGTTTTCATCTAAATATTTCTTTAAAAAATTAAAAGTTTTCATAGAAACAATAAACAATTTTATTTTTAAAACAGAGGTCTTTGGTTTTTAAAACCCCAAGATATCCTGGTTTTTTTGATGAAAACCCAAATATTTTAAATGAAAGATTCCATTTAGTCAAAAAAGCCATTTTCCATTGAATGTTTCAGTGGAAATTACAATGAACACCTGTAAATGAAAGTTTACACCTTTCAGAG